ATTAGGTTATTTTTCTTTTAAAACCACCATGACTACTCCTCGCATGGCTATGAACTTACAAACTAAGAAAAAAATGACTATTCCTGCGAAAAGAGTTCCTAAGGTTAAATTTTCGGCTAGTTTAAAAGAAGAGATTGCCAAAATTACTAAAAAGTAAATGTTAAAGAGTTAACTTACTAAGGTAATTGTAGGCCGGTTAACTCATTAGAACAAGTTAAAAATCAATTAATTTTTAAAAAGAGAAGAGAATATTCTTGATTTAAAATAACTATACTACATTATGGTAAACGCCCAAGAATGATTAGATCAGAACTATCCACGAGTACTCAGAGAAACCATTTCTACTATAATAATTGGCAGAAATAATGAAAATCTTGAAGGAGAATTAAAATTAGAAGGTTTTACTAATTTGAAAGAGTTTGAGTGTGACGGTAGCAATAATCTCACTAATTTAGACCTAAGCCAATGTTATAATTTAGAGAATGTATGATGTGTGGGTAGTAATCTTACTAGTGTTGAATTTCTCAATCATTTTCCTCATCCTGAAAAGGTAGACACTATTTTCTTGATTAATAATAATTTCTCGGCTACTGACATCGATTTTTTTTCTCGTTTTGTTAACTTGGAATGTCTTTGCATAGGAACAACTGACATAAATAAAATAGAACAAGGAATTTATAACCGTTTTTATGGTTCGTTATATTCGCTAAGAAATTTAAGTAAATTAAAAGAATTGAGTATTTGCTCAACCGATATTGATGATGGAGCCGAATATTTACCAGATAGCCTGAAAACTTTTTTTTGTGATAATTATCGAGTTGGAGCAAGGGTAGAAGCAATTAATTTTGGACTTAATGAATATGACGGAGATTTTGGAAGAGATGTGCCAGAACTAAAAAGAGCTCATCAACGTATTGCTAGAAAGTTAGAAGACAATCAGGCTGCCTTTGTTCATGCTTTACAATGCCAAGCTCATCAACATCGTCAAAAAGTAAGGGAACTTGAAGAACAAATTACTCAATTACAAGTTCAGTTAGAAAGTCAAAAAACGCAGGAAAAAGACGTGCAAACTCAAGAAAAAGCAACCCAAACTAACGAGAGTTTAGAATGTAGTTCAATAATTCAGATTGCTCCTAAAGGAAGTAGTTTTTAGGAAAAGATTCAATTTGGGCTTGTAACTGCTGCTTTTTTATTTGTTCTATCTCTTTTTTTAGTTCTATTATTCTTTCTTCAGTTTGAAAGATAAATACTTGCAAGGCTTTGTCAGTAAGTTCTGGAAGGGTTTGGTTAGTTAACGCTAATCTGAGATTAGCGAGTGTATTTTCTAACTCTATAACATTTTGGGCACTTTGAACTAAGTCCTGATTGTCTTTTCTTCAAAAAGGATATCAATCACTACCATCATACCCATCTTCTTCATAATCCTTTAATATCTTCGCCAAATTCTTATTACAATATAATTCTTCTAAACTTTCTGGCAAGTATTCTAGACCACCATCGACATTGGTGCTTGAAACATTTAACTTTTTTAACTTAGTCAAGGATTTTAAAGGCTCTAAACTACCAAAAAAAGGATTATTATTTAGATAAAGCTTCTCTAAACTAACCAAATGACTAAAAATAGATAAATCGTGTTGGAAATTATTATTAGAAATGTCTAATTTAGTTAATTTTGCTGTTTGAGAAATAGTTAAGTTGGCCAGGGTGAATCTAAAACCTTTATTTTCTGAATAACCATTGCTACTAGCGTTTACATGAATAAGGTTGGGGCAATTAGCGATGGTAAGGCCAGTTAGTTTATTTCCTCAACAAAGTATACTTTCTAAATTAGGTCAGTTAGCAATAATTAAAGAACCTTCTAGATTTACTTGTCTAATGTCGTGTAATTCAGTGATTTCGCTCCTTTCTTCTCGAGGGTAATAGCAATCTAACCAGTGTTGAGATTTGTTTTCTTTTAAATTAGCCGTTAGAGGAGTATAATTCTTATTTTCTAAATAAGAAGCCAACTCACTTTCTCATGGTTCTAAACCAACTTCAACTCACTCTTTAGTTTGCTGATAATTAAAGCCTAATTCTTCTCACTTTGCTTGTGAGTGTTCTGTAAAATCTGAATGGATATTTTTTCAATTAGTCATAGTAGTTAAATTTTACAATTTTTGATTTGGATGCGAATATTTTATTAAATGTATTCGGCAAAACATAATAAAGTAAAATAAATATTATGCAAGCCCAAACTTGGTTAGACCAAAATTATCCGCAAGGAGGATGGATAAATTATTTTGAAAGTGAAAGCGAAATAACAAAATTACAAAAACAATATAAATCTAGCCCACGAAAAGCAATTAACTCAAATTGAAATTCCTATTAAAGGGAATAATTAGCAGCAAGGATTTCTCTTTATTAGGATAAGGTTTAATGATTTGTCTTGCTCGGGATATTAGGGATTTTCATATTTAAATAATGTCATTATTTTAGAATTGCCTTTCTTTCCTCCGCTTCCGTAATTATTCTTATTTGTCAAGGTCAAGAAATTTTCTCCAAGTAAGAAAGAAGTTGCCTTAAATCTAATTGCTGAATTCACCCATAAAGGATAGCATGAGTATATTGGGAATTAGCCCCTATTTTATTTTCCAATTCTCCTTCGGTTAAATTATTTTCTCTTTTATAGCGAGCAATAGTTTGACAGATTTCATACTTCAATTTTTCCTCAGCAGTGGGATTCTCCCCTAAACCAATATTTTTGTTGGGAAAATCAGGACTTCGCATTTCCCGACAAATTTTTTCAGTTATTTCCGCTGGTGGACTTTTTTTAATTCTTTTTTCCATACTTAACTTTATTTTTTGGTCTCTCATAATTACTTTCACGATAACAATCTACTATCTCAATATAATTTTTCTTATCCTCCAAGCACCAGACTAGACAATAAGCCTTATTTTGGTAAAATATCGGCTCATAATTGTAATATACTCATTCATCATATCTTTTTCCTATTCCTAATTCTTTTTCTCCAAACAATTCCAACAACTTTACTAATTCGATAATCAATTCTTTACTAATTCCTTCCTCCTGGTGCTTTTCTCAATAAGGATTAAAATATATTTCTCTAATCAGAACACCATTAATTATTATTGGTCTTTTCAAGCAAAAATAATCATATTTGATATTCTGATAGAGCATATAAAACAATTTTAAATAATAAATTATTATTTCTTAGGAGAAATTTGGATCTGGGCTATTAGTTGTGCTTGTTGATCTTGCTGGTATTCACTTCTTAGTTGTTCTAAATTATCGCCACTTAAAGGATTGTTAGGAGTTAATTGTTTGTTATCTCTAAGTCAGAGAACAAACTCATAATCTTGGACAGGACTAAGCGAAGGAATAGAGTTAAATCATTCTTTAATTTCTCCTTGCATAAATTTTTCCGTTCAGCGTTTTTTGATGTCTTCCTTATGAAAATCGTTATGAATAGTAATTCAATCCTCAGCTTTTTCTTCTAAGTCGAAGCCATATTGCGAATATAATTCATAAAATTGGTCATTAATTTCTTGACTATTTTGGGGTTCAGGAAGATCACCAGTATCTAAAAGTTGGCTGGTATAAGTTGCCGGGGAGTTAACCTGGTAATCAAGAACTACATTTGACTGGGGAGTTAGTTCTTCGATTTCTTGATATTGCCGGTAAAATTCAGTATCCTTTTTGCCCTTGATTTCGTTCTGTCAAGTATTTATGATTTTAAATAATTTACTGGCGGTAGGACGTTTCAAAGAGTCAGCGTCTAAGCATTGCTTAATCAAGTTTTCTAACAGTTTTGGTATGTGCAACTTAGCAAAGTTGGGACGAAGGCCTTGGCAGATTTGGAAAGCTAACTGGTGGTGATTGATTCCATGATAAGGGGCTTGACCAGAAAATAACTCATAAGCCACTATGCCTCACGAATAAATATCAGTGGCTTGGGTATAAACTTTGGTTTGAAGCACTTCCGGTGCCACATAAGGTAGAACTCCATAAATTTTTTCTTCCTTATCAGTTTCATCGACCGGTCTACACAGGCCTAAATCAGTAATTAAGCACACTTCACTATTAGAAATTAATATGTTGCCTGGATGAAAATCTCGGTGAATTAATCCTTGCCGGTGAACATTGTTTAGCCCCTTAGCTAAGTTGTATAACTGACCAAGTTTATTATGAAAGTCCAGTTTCTTGTAATAATTGGTTAAATATTTTCGTAAATCACCATTTTTTATGTAATCCATCACCATGATATAATCCTTAGTTTGCGGATCCTGAGAAATTCCAAAACATTTTACTACCCCATCATACTCATCCTTGAAGAGTTTATAGTAGGCTACTTCCCGCAAGAAGTCAGAGGTTATATTTTGCGAATTAGTTAAGCTTTTTAAAATAACTCCATCTGGATAAAACTTATCTCTTTCTCAATTGTTTTCTTTTGTATTTCAATAACTAATTTGTCTATCAACTCATTCGGCTACTTTATAAATTTTCCCAAAGCCACCTTCGGCTAAGTATTCAATGTCTCGAAATTTTTCATAAGGTATTCATTCTAAGACTCCGTATTTGTTAATAGCAGTTCGCTGATACCTTTGGATGAATTCATCAACTGCTGGATTACCGCCGCTTCAATTTTTAAATTCCTCAGCAAAATGGCGTTCACTACATGATTTACATCAACGATACCACGTATTGGTCTGGCTACATTCTTCGCATAAACCAAAGGCTTTATACCTCTCTTTCAATTCTATCCTATTTAGTATTTCGATGCTTTCTGGTTTGTAGATTTTATCACATTCCACTAAGCGTTTCAGAAGTTTTTCCCTAGACATTTCACGAACTTCCTTGTTGATACTAATTTGTGCTCCCACTACTCTTGCATTATTACCACTAATATTTATTGGCGGATTATTTATATGGGTAATTCTTTCGCTGCATGATTCAATCATTTCAGTAATTGTTTTATTATTCTCTAAAAGTAGTGACTGAATATCCTCTTTACATTTTCTTTCATCATCAAAACTATCAAAATTAGTTCGAACAATAGTAGTATATTTAGTAATATTTTCATCAAAAAGAATTTCTTTTAGGATATTGTAGGTTTCTATTTCCTCTGGCGTAAATTTCCCATTGTTTACAAACAGGATTTGGCTTAACCCATCCTTAACTTTGTCATACACTTTAGCTATTTCTTGTAAGGTTTCAATTTTTGTTAATTTCGTATCACCAAGTCCAGGAGTATCAATTATCCGATATTTTACTCCATCCACCTCAAAAACTTTATCACTTATTTTTCTTGTCTCACTGGCACTACCATGACCCTCTTTAAAAAATTCTTCGAACTCACCTTCTTTATTAACTAGAACATTAGCTAATGTTGATTTACCATTACCAGTTCTTCCAATTAAAAGAATATTTCGATACTGAGTTTCTTTTTTTATTTCCTCAGTATTTTTGTTATTTGCATAATTTTTATATTCTTTTCTTAATTCTTGTTCGTCTCCATATTTTAAGTAATTTGATACTCATTCAGTATTTTTGTTTTTAACGTCCCTTAACCAATGAGCAAATTTAGCATCACCTGCTTGCAAACCGGCACTAATTCACTGGTTTGTTTGTTCATAATTAAACCCTTGTTCTTCTCATTCTTTTTGTAATTCTATCGTAAAATTTGAATCTATATTTTTTCAGTCTACCATATTGAATTAATTTTAGCAAAATTATTTCTCACTAGCATCTTTTTTTAATTTCTCATGTTAATATAGACACCAGACATAACAATCATAACAGCTACTCCAATAGAAAAAATTAAGCAAAAATCCCTATGTCAAAGCAAAGTCGTTAAAACCTAATAATAAAAATAATAAAACTATATAACCATGATTATCACTTTTGCGGACAAAGAAACCGAAAAACTGTGACACTGAAAGAAAAATCCTAAATTTGG